GTTGTAGCAGCTCCTGGGCCTGGTTGTAGCAGCTCCTAGGCCTGGTTTTAGCAGCTCCTGGGCCTGGTTGTAGCAGCTCCTAGGCCTGGTTTTAGCAGCTCCTAGGCCTGGTTTTAGCAGCTCCTAGACCTAGTTGTTGCAACTCCTGAGCCTGGTTTTAGCAGCTCCTGGGTCTGGTTGTTACAATTCCTCCCATTGAGGTGTTTTAAACCTTTCCCACACTCTTGCAATACTTTAAACAATGTTTCCAAACTCCAAACGCTACAAAAGAGCACAGAACGTCATGATTTCTCTCTTTGTGCCTTCACTGCTCTCAGCCACCTGCAAGCTGTCCTGGCCACGCCTCCATTATTATTGATTATCCAAAGTAAAAATTAAAGCTAAAAAGGTTCAGATGGTTTTGATGGTACAAGTTTTGTTGTGGAGCCCCTGACACCACTTTGAGTATACCACTGCATTGGAACACAGATACCTATACTATTTTTGATCAATGACTGGGTTGTACCTTAGATGTTCTTTTTTGTTTGCACCTGTCTGCACAGCCCCACAAAACAAGTAAAAGAGTAAAAAATAAGGAGGCGGCTTCATTATTAACAAATTAAAACACAATTTTTATAGTTTCCATATTAACAGAGTTTTTTGTTGTTGTTTTCCTTTCTTAAACAGCTCACAAAAGCTACTTGGTCCTGTGGTTATAAGTCTGCCACTCCTGTGATCAGCTCAAAGCATGAACTTCCTTTCTACAAACCAGTGACTAAAGTGGTGAAGTTAGTTTTAGGTTTAAGGTGGGATATTAACGCTCTGTGGATTCAGTGGTGTCTCTCTGCCATTCCACCTGGAGCTGGCAGTATAAAATAAGGGGGTCTGGACTCTGGTTACCACACCACTGAGCGCTCCCTCCACTGAAACATATTAGTTTGCTTAGGAACCATAAACAAATGACACTAAACAAATTAAAGAGCCTCTAAATTATGTAAAGTTGTGACCATAAGTTAAGATTCAAAGGTTTTTGACTGCAGAAGTAAAACATGCTTGTTTTTTCAAAATCTGATTTTAATGCATAAAATGAATAAGAAAAAAGTATTCATTAATGTACATATAAAAACATGACATCCTTTTAAATCATATAAAAATAGTTTTCTTTATTATCTAGCCTAGTAACATAATTTAACACCGATTTTGTATCATTAGGACACATTACGTGGACGCCTTTAAAAAATCATTAAATTCATATAAAAATATTATTAAAACAATGGAAATGCATTAAAATAAAGGAAAACAAGCATCTTCCTTGTGCAGTCTGCTAAAACAATTTATTGTGAACTTTTGGTCAGAACTTCTCATGACTACTATTTGAATTAAACCATTTGAGATGTGATAAATATGTGAATCACCTGTTCAGAGTTGTCAAAAGATGTTTGTTTTTCTTTTTGAAAAAAGTCTCAGTTTAAGAAAGAACTGCATTACAACTAAAGTAATTTGATTTTCAAAGGTAAAATTCAAATTAAATATAATATTAGCACTGGATCAAAAATTCATCAAAGTTGAGGAAGCAACACAAGCTTAAAAATTTCATAACAAAAAGAGGTATTTAGGATATTTTGAATTGGGGATTGTAAAAAAAGTTCAGAACAATTTATATTTTCTCTGTTGTAAATAGCTTTTTAAATAACCCCAGTTTGGACAATTAGAGCTTGATTCTGGCAGGACCAGCAACCCCAAAATTTCACAACATTTCATCCAAACACAATTTTATGTCTTTACATCACCATCATTTTTAAGTGACGTCAAGATTTAAATTTTAATAGTGACTGGAGCAAAGGGGCTCAGGAACATCTTTAATAAAGAGTCAGAGATTTAACCCATCATGTGAATCCAACACTAACATTTCACTTCACTGTCTGAAGGTGTGGATGGATGCTGGGAGCCAGGTGCTCTTCTCCTATGCTGTCTGCTCAGGATGTTTGCCAGCTTTGGGAAGCTACAATAAATTCAACAACAACTGCTACAAGTATGAAAAATAATCTTCTTATTGATAGGTTATTAGTTTTTTATGACACCAGTGCCACACAATGTGTGCTGCTGCAATGTTGTTGTTTTTTTGGGTGTTTGAGTTTCTGATATCTGGACTTTTATTAGAATATTCCACAAAGTTTTGTGTTTCCACTCTCTAAATATTAACTGTGGGATTAGGGTTTATACTCATGCTGAAAAATGAACATTTGACCAAATTCCAATTATGCAAAATACTTTTTTTTCTCAAGCTTGTTCCTTTATTTAGTATTATTCAAAAGTTATTTAATTTTTGAGCAAGTTTCGAGTCCAGAAAAAGGAAAATAGTTTATTTCACATGATTAAAAAAAAAAAATTCAATTCAAAAATACTTTATTAATCCCAGAGGGAAATTATTTGTTGCTGTAACTTGTTATCCTCATTTCATTAAGAGATGTTATAGATGCTGATGGCTGTAGGCAGGAAGGATCTCTTGTAAAGGTCCATTCCACAGTGGATCCTAAGAAACTGGCTGCAGATGCCGTCCGATCCGTCCACCCAGACTCGGCTGGCCTCTTGGTTCCCCCAGGCTGTAGGACCGCCCAAATGCCAGGCAGAACTCATCCCAGAGTGATGGCCACTCCTCCCAGCAGCTGCTGAGCTCATTGTCGCTGCAGACAGCCAACTGTAGGTGCCGAGGAACGATCCTGTCCTTCCACTGTCATGAGCCATGTTTCCTGTTAGTTCCAGGATCTCAGTGGTCAGGCACTCGAGCACAGCTGGCAGGTAGATGAGAATGCGTCCACATACCATCCTTCAACTCATTTGAGATTTTGTGCTGTAGTTGAGATATTATTTGAGCTTTTGAGATGTTAATCAGCAGTTGCTGGTTGTAGAAAACTGCCTTGTTGCCATGGTTACACATCATAACAAATGTCCAAAACTAAAAAAGTTTCAGTAAAAATTCTTCCAGCTGCACAGCATCCGATACCAGAGGAAACAATCATCCAAAAAATGTGATTTACATCCAGAAAAAGAGGAATTAAATTTTCTGTGTTTTATTAAGGAGATGCTGAGTTTGCACATACATTATCTTTCTAGTCTAAAAAAGTTAAATCTGGTCCTCTGGACATTCAATAAAAACAAAACAAAAAAATTATAGAAACGTTTTGTCTTTCATCTGAAAGACTTCCTCAGTCTGAGGTGCTGTATTCAACTCAGTCTCTTAAATAGCACCTTCTCAGAGTGGATCAACCAGTTTGCTGCTGACAACCAAAACCAGCTGATCACCCCCCCCCCCCCCCCCTTGTCCTACGGCTAAGACGTGCGTTCCTGCACGTACGCGTTCCATTAACCATTTCAATGCTGCTCGTTTTAATGAAGGTTTTAATTCTGAGAGGATCGAACAGTTCCCGGTGTCTCTTACCACTGAGGAGCTAACCTCTCAGTTCAACTCTGCCTGTTTAGATGTTCTGGACCGTGTTGCTCCCTTTAAGACCAGAAAAACAAAACTTAGATCAGAGCCTTGGCTGAATGACGTCACTCGAGCCGTTAGGCGGCAGTGTCGCAGAGCTGAACGAAGGTGGAGGAAGGACAGGCTGCAGGTTTCTTTTCAAATGTTAAGGGAGAGTTGGCGTCACTATCAGAAAACCGTTAAAGCTGCCAAATGTAAATTCTTCTCTGATTTAATTGTCTCCAACTCCCACAACCCCCGAGTTCTTTTCTCCACCCTGAACTCAGTTCTACACCTCAGTGAGCCTTCGCCTCTGGAAGCCTCAACTGAGCTGTGTGAAAACTTCCTCCATTTCTTTTTAGAAAAAGTGACAAGCACCCGGGCACTCATATCTCCACCAGCTCATGATCTGTCCATCCCATCTCAGTGTGTGGCTGTGTTTGACCACTTTGAGCCCATCTCTCGGTCTTCTCTGGAGCAGGTAATGTGCAGCATGAAGCCATCTGGCTCCCCCTTTGATGTGGTCCTCCCTCGACTACTAAAGGAAGTTTTTCCTACCCTGGGTCCTTTTATTCTCGCTATTCTGAAGAGCAGTTTATCCTCAGGTGTGGTGCCAAAAACTTTTAAACATGCTGCTGTCCAGCCCCTCCTGAAAAAACCTAACCTTGACCCCTCAGTCATGTCCAACTTCCGGCCTGTCTCCAGACTCCCATTCACCTCTAAACTACTGGAAAAAATTGTAGAGACTCAGTTGAAACAGTTTTTGGAGGATCACGCTATCCTAGAGTTATTCCAATCTGGCTTCAAATCTCTCCATAGCACTGAAACTGCTCTACTGAAGGTTTTTAATGACATTTTCATATCCACAGACGCAGGTGATTCTGTGCTGCTTGTTCTATTGGACCTGACATCTGCTTTTGACACCATCGACCATAAGATCCTCATTTCTAGACTGGAGCAGTGGGTGGGCATCACAGGGTCAGCCCTTAAATGGTTTGGGTCCTACCTCTCTGACAGAACCTTCTGTGTCAATATCAAAGATTTTAGTTCGGCATCGACAGCGCTCCAGTGGGGGGTTCCGCAGGGGTCCATCCTCGGTCCCCTTCTCTTTTCTTTATACCTGCTGCCACTAGGTGCTATTTTCCGCAAACACAACATACCCTTTCATTTCTACATCAATGATTGCCAAATTTACTTCCCCCTGAGGCACAGAGGCACACGCTCTATTCAGCCTCTTCTTGACTGCCTGGCTGACATCCGGGACTGGATGGCTTTAAACTTCTTAAGCTTCAATGAGAAGAAGTCTGAAGTCATGCTGTTCCATCCCAGTGGCTCACTCATGAACCATGACATTGACCTTTTCTCTCTAGCCCCGCTAGAGAAACAAAAGGTCACTAATCTGGGGGTGATAATGGACCCGTCCTTAAAACTCAACAGTCACGTAAACATGATGGTCAAATCCTGTTTTTTTCAGCTGAGACGGCTGTCTAAGCTGAAGCCTATACTCTCCAAAAAGAACCTTGAGACAGTGATCCACGCCTTCATAACATCTAGGCTTGATTACTGCAATTCACTTCTGTTTGGAATCAGTCAGTCCTCCATTGCTCGTCTACAACTGGTCCAAAATGCTGCAGCCCGATTTTTAACTGGTACAGGCTATAGAGAGCACATCACGCCAGTTTTGGCCTCCCTGCACTGGCTACCCATTCACCTTCGGGTCCAATTCAAAATTCTCATGTATGTTTTTAAATCACTGAACAGTTCCGCCCCATCCTATCTCACTGATCTTCTGCAGCCATATGTCCCACTGCGCTCTCTGAGGTCAGCAGACCAGATGCTTCTCTCAGTCCCAGAAACCCGTCGTAAGCTCAGAGGTGACAGGGCTTTCTCTGTTGCAGGTCCACGAATGTGGAATGAGTTGCCACTGAGTGTCCGGCAGGCTCCCACACTCTCAGTCTTTAAGTCTCGCTTGAAGACCCACTTCTATTCTCTTGCCTTTAACATGGTGTGATTTGTTTTGGTCCGGTCTGTACTCGACACTGTTGGCCATTTTAGTTTAGCTTCTGCTGCTATTTGTATCTGTATTTTTATTTTATGTTTTCCTGTCCGCTGTGCATGTTTGTTTTCTTTTGTAAAGCACTTTGGTTGGCCTTGTTGCTGTTTTAAGTGCTCTATAAATAAATTGGTATTGTATGGTATCACATGCTCAAGAAGGACCATCAGCCTAACAATGGATCATTAGCACACTGATGGCTGTTTACTATTCACAGGGGGTTGAGTGATACTAGCAATAACAGCATTGTAAGAGGGGGACAGTTGAACCCGGAGGCCTCCACCCCTGTTTAATGATGGATGATTTCTTTTCACAAAGATGGCCTCCTTTACTCCTCTCTCAAACCATCGTTCCTCTCTGTCCAGGATGTGAACATCTTCATCCCTGAAAGAGTGACCGCTGGCCTGGAGATGAGTGTAGACCGCAGAGTCCTGGCCTGATGATGTTGATCTTCTGTGCTGGTCCATCCTTTTGGCCAGTGGCTGTTTTGTTTCCCCGATGTAAGACTGATCACAGCCCTCCTGACACTGAACAGCATACACAACATTACTCTGTTTGTGCCGGGGGACTGGATCTTTGGGATGAACCAGTCTTTGCCGTAATGTATTTTGGGGTTTAAAAGTCACTGGGACGTTATGTTTAGAAAATAAACGTCTCAGTTTCTCTGATACTCCCTCAACATACGGAATGACCACTGGTCCAGGCCAGGATTCTGCGGTCTACACTCATCTCCAGGCCAGTGGCCATTCTTTCAGGGATGAAGATGTTCACATCCTTGATAGAGAGGAACAATGGTTTGAGAGAGGAGTAAAGGAGGCCATCTTTGTGAAAAGAAACCGTCCATCATTAAACAGGGGTGGAGGCCTCCATGTTCAACTGTCACCCTCTTACAATTCATTCAACCTTTATTTCTACAGGTAAATCCCATTGAGCCCTGAGGACTCATTTACAAGAGAGACCTGATTTCAACAAAGAATGATGACAACAATGGACAACAATTATAAAAGTTATAAAAAGGCATACAGATTTTATTTTATTTTTTTTACAAATAAGATGGCTAAATGCTGTTATTGCTAGTATCACTCAGCCCTCTGTGAACAGTAAAGTGTGCTAATGATCCATTGTTAGGCTGATGGTCCTTCTTGAGCATGTGATCAGCTGGTTTTGGTTGTCAGCAGCAAAACTGGTTGATCCACTCTGAGAAGGTGCTATTTATAAGACTGAGCTGAATACAGCACCTCAGACTGAGGAAGTCTCTCGGATGAAAGACGAAACGTTTCTACATTTTTTGTTTGTTTGTTTTGTTTTATTGAATGTCCAGAGGACCAGACTTAACTTTTTTAGATTTCTCTAACTGGATTATTGAGCATGAATCAGGATATTATCTTTCTAGATTTTTTTTTTTTTGTCATTAGATTTTTTTTTTTTTTGCAATTTAAAAACTTTCCTAGATGTTTCTCTCATTTTGTTGCTTAACCCATTTTTTCCTGACCACTGTAGAGTGGTCATTAAACTCATTCATAGAGTTCATTAAACTCAGTTTAAAGTGTTCTGTATGTAACTTTTAACCCAGTTTCTCAATGAATGAAATAGGTTTACATTTCTGGAAAGTACATTAACTTTGTGTGTACATTTTTTGGACGAATCTGTTTAGGTCACGGTTCCTCCATCTTCTACGGCTTATCTGTAGTCGTGTTGCAGAGGCATCAGGTCTAGGAGAGAAACCCAGGCATCCCTCTCTCCAGTGACATTTTCCAGTTTGTCCTGGGGGACCATGAGGTGTTCAGGCCAGAGAAGATACACAGTCCCTCCAGCGACTTCTGGGTCACTGTATCCAGAATCTCGTTCTTTCGGTCATGACCCAAACCTCATGACCACAGGTTAGAACGTAGACAGACCAGTAATTCGAAAGCCTTACCTTTTAGCTCAGCTCTTTCTTCAGCATGACTGACTGAAGCAATACCCTCATTTCTGAGGATGCAACCCAATTCATCAATCCATTTCCAACTCCATCTTACCATCAATCATGAACAAGATGCCCAGATATGTTAACTCCTCCCCCTGAGGCAAAGTCCGCTCCTACCCCCCTTCCCGATCCAGAGAGGGCATTACACTCATTTTCGGTTGAGAACCAATTTCCCAGATTTGAGGAGCTGACTCTCATTCCAGCCACTTCAAACTCGGCTGTGAACCGCTCCAGTGAATGCTCAAGGTTTTGGCCTGAAGACACCCACAGAACCACATCATCTGCATAAAGCAAAGATAAGACCCTAAGGTTCCCAAACCAGACACCCTCCTTTCCATGACTGAACCTTGAGATTCTGTCCATGAACACCACAAACAGGATTAGAGACAAAGGACAGCCCTGGTGGAGTCCAACCTGCACTTAGAACAAGCTTGACATTGTGCCAAGAATGTGGACACAGCTTCTGCTTTGGTTATACAGGGATCAGATGGCCCTTAAAAACAACCCAGGCACGCCCCTACACCCACAGCATCCCCCACAGGAACACGGTCGGTCATAAGTCTTCCTCAGGTCCACAAAACACGTAGAATGGAGAAGCAAACTCCTATGATCCCCTTAGCAACTCCGCAAGTGTAAAGATCTGGTCCACTGTTCCACGACCAAGATGGAAGCAACACTGCTAAATATGAGGTTTGACAACCCTTCCAACACCCTGGAGTAAACTTTGATGGGGAGGATGAGAAGCACAATTCCATGACAGTTGGAACACACGGCATGGTTCTTGTAAAATTTTAATTCAACAGAAACAAACTAAAAAATATACAAAGTATACCAGGGGACAATGCTGACTAATAGGAAAAAACACCAATGAGTAAAAATAATTTTTAAAAGTACTATATGCATGTGTACAAACCCATGCTATCCATGGGAGATAAATTCTACATTTTCTATTTATGATTTCAGAGATGCCCTTGCCTTGTGCACGCTGAACAGTTTAACTAGTTTTGTTGCTGGCTTTGCCGTCTTCTCTGTCCTTGGCTTCATGTCGTATGAGTTGGGAGTTGACATCGCCACTGTGGCTGATTCAGGTAAGGAACTTTTTCATTTCAACTTATTGTTGGTGCCTGTAAATAAAAATTTTTTGATCCTGATGTTGTTTCAACTTTTTATTTCAATATCTAAAAATAGTACAGTTTAAAACTTCAAAACTGAACCGAGATTAAAGCAGAAATTTGTCATATTGTCCTTCTGGTGATGATATTTCTATTCAAACCAGAGTTGACACATGTATGGTGCACCTCTAAACCTTCTGCAATATGAGATTTCTAATAAAGATGTAACTTGTGAATTAGGAAGAATGAAAGAAAACCTAATTTTAGCAGTGTTACATTTTAAGCCTTGAGCATCTGTTTTACTCAATATTATCAAGTTTTTAATTAAGTGATAATAAAGATATTGTCTTTATTGCTTTATGCACATCTTACCACCACCAACATGTTTTGACCTTTGCCGTCCAACACTTTAGGTCCTGGTCTAGCATTCATCACTTATCCTCGGGCCACAGCCATGATGCCTCTACCCCAAGTTTGGGCTGCCTTCTTCTTCCTCATGATAATTTTTCTTGGACTGGACAGTCAGGTAATTGCAGAATAACATTTTTTATTAATGTTAGCATCTTTTTAATTAATCACTACATAATTTAGATGATCATGTCTTTAGTTTTATATTGCACTTGTGTTTCATACTAATGAACTTTTAGCAAACCCAGTAAACTTGATAAAAGTTACAACTTATCAGCAGAGTCACAGCTTTTGCATGCAGTTCCTAAATAATTAACACGAAGGAAAAGCCAGTTTATGTCTTGCAGGTCCCATGGCCCAGCATTAACACAATATAATGCTGTGGAAGTTATTTGTTGTTCTGAGACTGCATATTATTTTTTCTTTTGTTTTATTGCTGTAAGCCAAATGATTATTTTAATGTCCTAACACCTAAAACTTTAGAAGTATAGGGTGAAGTACTCTGTTTTTTTTATCTTGACTTCTTTCCACATTTTGTAAAGAGGCTGTGCTGAAAAAAGATGACTTCTCTTTTTATCCACAGTTTGTGTATCTGGAAGGTTTGGTGACGTCCATATCAGACATGTTTCCATCCTTCTTTTTTATCGGCCATCGACGTAAGCTGCTCCTGCTGTTCATCTGTGCTGTCTCTTTTGTTTCGGGCCTGTTTATGGTGACAGAGGTGAGAGTTAAGTTACATTTTATGTCTGCCACTACAGCTCACTATAACAAAACCTTTGTGTTTTCTTGCTTTGTTTCTGTTATTTATCACAGGGAGGACTATACGTGTTTCTGCTCTTCGACTACTATGCCTGCAGTGGAATACCAATCCTGCTGTTTGCAATTCTGCAGTCTTGCTGTATAGGATGGGTATTTGGTGAGACAAAAATAATAAATAACATTTTTTCCCAATAAAAGTGGAAATTACTTGTGTGCTTTAAACTATGCAGTTATAAATGTAGAGCACCCCAAACAAGTACCCAACAACAACGTTTAGTCTTGATGTGTATGATTTAAGATGTCCTGCCAGTTTTCTCTACCGACAACCTCAAAATGTGGGTGGGATAGGTGAAGCAACCGCACCTGCCTCCACCTTCATTTGCCCCACTCTGAGCCCTTGATCAAGGCCCTTAACCCCCACCATCTGCTCCCCCTGGGTGTCCTAGATGACAGCTCTCTGCTCCACACAGAGGGCTGTGGTAGCTCAATGGTCTCTGGTTGTGTCAGGAAGGACATCCGGCATAAAAACAATCGCCAAGTCTTAGTGAGACTTAATTCGCTGTGGCGACCTTTGAAGAAGGGAGCAGCCGAAAGAAGAAAAAAAAATGTATAAAATAATAATTAAAAGAAGATAAATTTTGCTTATTGGAGTGTTTAAACTTCTGTCTAGTTCTGGAAAAACATCAACGTAAAGAAATGTTTTAGTTTATCAGTAAAGGTTTGAATATTTTTCCTATTTGTGTAATTTAAACTTCACTAAGTTTCACTGGTAAAATGAAGGATTTTGTCAACCTTTTAAGAAATTGTTTTCTTTTATTTTGAATTTTGGGAGGTGGATGGAGATTTTCCAAACGCCATATATTGCCCATGACTTGTTTAACCTATACTTAGCTCCCCATCTCAGGACGTTTTTGAAAGAGGTGTTCATATGTATATCTGTATAAACAGGTCTCGCTTGAAAATGAGTTCTCGTGACTACCTGTATAAATAAAGGCTAAATTAAATAAATAAAAACATATGTTCGTTCATGGCAGAATGGTGGTGCAACTGGTAGAGCTGCTGTCTCTCAGTGAGAAGGTAACCCTGGTTCAAATCCTGGTCCGGCGGCCTTCCTTGGTGGGGTTTGCATGTTCTCTCCGTGCATGCGTGGGTTTCCTCCGGGTACTCCGGTTTCCTCCCACAGACCAAAAACATGCATGTTAGTCTGATTGGCAACTCTAAATTGTCCCTAGGTGTGTGAGAGAGAGTGAATGGTTGTTTGTCTCATTTGTCTCTATGTCCCTGTGATGGACTGGAGACCTGTCCAGGGTGTACCCAGCCCCTCGCACAGTGATTGGTGGACATGGGCACCGGCGACCCCCATGACCCAAAAATGGAAGAAGGGGGTTAAAGATAATGGATGGATGGATGGATGATCGTTAATTTGTAATTTTTATTGAATCCATCCATTATCTTTATCCGATTATTCCATTTTGGGTCACGGGGGTCGCTGGTGCCCATGTCCAGCAATCACTGTGTGAGGGGCGGGGTACACCCTGGACGGGTCGCAAGTCCATCACAGGGACACACAGAGACAAAATGTTTATTGAATATTCTTCCTAAACGACTCATTATAATTTATTTTAGTGTCCTCCAACACTGACTGACCAAGCTATAGGGAGATCACATCACAGACCTTTCTTTAAGGGAGGCCTGGGCCTGAAGGCAGAATAAATATATTATTTTGGACTGCCCATGCAAACATGAGGAGGACATGCAAACTTCACACAGAAAGACCCCAGGTCCAACTTGAGGCTGTAAGGCACATGTGACAAACTCAAGGCCCAGGGGCCAAATGTGGCTCTCATTGATATCTTATCTGGCCCCCAAGATGATATGTGAAACATAAAATACTTATATCGCTTGAATTTTTTAAGTAATCTTTGATTATGATGTCGAAAACCCAAGAGAGAACATCAAATGAGACCAATAAAACTCTTGTTGAGGAAACTGTGACCATGAAAAGATGTTGGGTATCTGATTTAAGTTAATCTAGATTCTGAAATTGGCCCTTAGTTTGAAAAAAGTTTTAATTTAGGCCCCCTTTTGTAAGTGAGTTTGACACCCCTGAAAGGCAACAGTGCTTAATTTTAAGCTGATGGGCTACCCTAATAATTGTATTTATTTTAACTTCAATTATTGTTTTATACAGTATCAACTTCACAAACACACTGCAAAAGTGTTATCTCAGAGTTCTACACACAAATAGAAAACCAACAAAAGCAATTCTAATCCAAATACTCAAACCAACAATTACAGTTAATTCAATTAACTTCATTACAATTTTAGATCAGTTCAGTTAGATGAGGAAAATAGTACCTAATTTTAACAAGAGGTCCCCAAAAGAACCAGACTTAAGAAGGTTGACAGTTTGTCTGGATTTTCTGGGTTTGAGTTTCAAACAGGAATGGATTTTATGGGGTACAATGATTGGCAGTACACAGTAAGTAACATACTTACATGGAGTGTAAAGGAAAGGAGGGTGATGCGAAGTTATCAGAACATTATACTGTAGCAACATAACTTAAAGCCACTTTCACAAAAGATGATGCCCCCCCCCCCCCCC